AAATGCGATCGAGGCCGACGAGGAGGAATTGACACGGCGGCGGCGATTTAAAGAAGTCGGATCTGAAAGGCAAATTTAATAGCGCGGGAAAGCTAATGAATAAAAGCGATTGAATGATAAAACGGGATCCCGAGCCACGCTCGTGGAGGCCGCGATACAATTTGAAGGGCGGATTAAAGAATCACCGGAGCATAAAAGCAACCGAAGGAAAGAGAGAGAGAGAGAGAGAGAAAATGGGAAATTGCGAAAAGACTTCGATGTTTCCATCGTTGCGAAACGCGCGGACGGGGAATTTCCGCGGAAATATGTTTTTCAAGCACCGAGAGTGCATGCTGCGAGCGGGTGAATCTCGCGCGGCGGTTAGTTTAAGTGCGCTGAATTGCGCAGCACGAGCTAGCAGTTATTTTGTTAGATTGAGAAACAAAGTGGGAGAGTGCGAGGAAAGACGGAGGGGGGATTCTTTACACGATAGAACATCCTCGCGCGGAATACGCGAGTGCATTTATGAGCGCGCAAACGTTTCCACCACGTTGCGCGCGGGACTACGGGCGGAGCTCCGTCGTGAATTTCGCAGATCGCGAAACGGATTACGGATCATCCGAGCCCTCGAGGAGTCTCCCTTGAGCGCCGGCAGCGCGCACGAAATTGCGATCGCTCGCGGCTCCGCAACGCGGAACTCGCGTTTCCGCGCGTCGCATCGCGTCGCTCCGGCCAGTCGACCTCGTAGAAATTTAAAACGGCCGCTAGGAAGGCCCTGTTGTAATCTGACTGTCCCAGGTAACATTCGAAGACGTCGTAAAGACGTCTTTCAGACAATCAGACGTCAAAGGGACGTCTTTTCGACATATGTGTTGTTTGGGATATCTTGACTGAATAGTGAAAGTAGGCCTTAAATCGGATAAACGGACATTGACGCGCTAGGGACACTCACTCGGATCCTTGACGGCGGTGATGACGAGGCGGAAGCCGTTCTCCTTGGTGCCCCAGGCGTCGGTGACGTATCTCAACGTCACGAAGTTGGTGCGCGTGTAAATCGCGCCCACGGACTGCTTCGTGTTCCTGCAGGATAGGTCTGCCTGGAAACAAAAGAAAATTGCGTTCGTCGAGTATGTGCTGTCACTTGAGGGAGCTCCCTCGTTTTTTTTTTTGTTTGTTTGTCGGGGACGCTAACGATGTAAATGTCGCGAGCGCGATATCGAGCGAGCGAGGCGGGGGCGGACGGCGACGTCGTCGATGCAAACCCCCGCCGCTTGATTTACGCCGGGTGCTTTTATATCGCGATGGACTAAAAGTCCCAATCAATGCTGTTCGCGGAACCGTCACCGTGATGTGTGATTTACGTTGTCGCGCGTCTGCGAGATAAAATTCGCGCGGAAAAACGTCGCGTGCCGCTGTTGAATCTTTAATTCGCGGCCGGGCGCTATTCATGATCTCCGGCGTCTGCGCGTTTCGCGCCAGTCTCTTTCCGCTCGATTCAACGCGATTATTATCACCCTCGAAATATATCGGTCGCTGCAAAGTGCTATTGATAAAAGGTGTCCTCGTCGTATCTTCTGCGATGCCCTCGAAATAGGTTAATCGATTTTTAATCAGCCAATATTGGAATATCGATATCTTAAAAAATATTGGGACCGGAAAATTGATATTTTTATTGGTACGTCAGATTGCAAAATATACCTTGTGATATTAAAGCGTAGTTGGCATAATAAAAGTTACAACACTTTCTTTCGATGAGTCTCGCAACGCACTTTGTATCCAATAGGAAAGCATTTTTTGCATACGTGTTTGAAACACTTTTAAGAATCGCACGTAGATTTCCCAACTAGAATCCATAATTATTTTAGAACATCAAACTGGATCTCAATTAGATCCCAAGAAACTTTCCATGCAGGGAGACTTCCCTCCTCCTCCTCTTCCTTCTCGTCGACCAACAACGCGTCCCTAAATCAGTTTACTGTCTCGACGCGAGACAAAGGTGAGTCGGACAATCCCGAAGTACGAGCCGTAGATATCAATTCGAGTGACGACGACGACGACGACGACGAAGAAAAGACCGTGGTTGCCGGGTAGGAAATTTATTCGCAGATTTCCGTCGCGCTCGTTTGCTCCGAGACACGAGCGAGAGCGTAACACTTGTTGCACCCCCGCGGCCAACGAAAGAAACCGAATACAAACGGTCGCGCAAAAAAGTCGCGAGCAGCGCAAAAACGGCGTAGTCGATGGCGTGCGTATCGATTGTTTCGCGCGGTGTCCCGGTCTCTTTCAGGGAAACCGCGCGGAGCGGAAGCGCCGGCTGTGTATCGAGCGAACGAAGTACTTCGAGGCCGAAGCGATCGCGCGTGATAAAAGTGTGATCTTGTCGCGATATATTTTCACGAGATAGAGAGAGAAAGATAGATAAATAGAAGGAGGGAGGAAAAGAGAGAGAGAGAGAGAGAGATAAAGAGAAAGAGATTTTTTACATCGTGTACTCTGTGTGCACACGCGGGGACACCTTAAAAAAATCAATCGGAAAACAAAACCGGAGGCAACCGCAACCGGGTAAATTCGAGCGCGTTGTTGATTTATTGAAAGGAGGGCGAGAGGGAGGGGGCGGAGAGGCAATTTGTTTTCGCGCGAACCCTTTCTGTATTTTCCAACTTTCGTGGTGTATTTAGAGACCAAATATCCGCGGATAAGTTTTATTCGTTAACGGGCATCGCGCGAGCGCGCGCACTCAACTTGCTGTTTCCACCGGGTTTATCTGGCAGCACCGCCCTTATCTGGTATCGCGAAAATCGCAATCTCGTAGCGTGGAAAATGCAAAGAGCGGGAAAGCGGGGCCGAGGGAGGAAAAGAGAAAGAGAGAGAGAGAGAGAGTTGTTCGATGATAACAGTTTAAATTACATTCCAGGCATGCGTTTCCGCATAAACAACTTTTATTGAGATTTTAACTTTGTTGTTGCATGCGTGCGCGCGCCGCCATTTCCGCTCCGTCCGAACCCTAACGGGCGTCCCCCTTCCCTTGTATTTTTTGCCCTTCTCCTCCTTTTTCTCTTTTTTTTCACCGTCTCCCGGCCGACTTCGCTTCTCCTGTCGCGGAAATATTATCGAATCTATCGTAGGTCGTTTAATAACTGTCTTCTTCCCATCCCAATTAGCGCGGACGAGCGGTCGAGGCCACGGCGGATAATCCGCATTTAATTATCCCTCCTCGTCCGTCGAACTTCGGCTCGCCTCTTGCGACCCTTTTCCCCACATATATACATCCCCCCATCCCATATACGTCATCTACCGCGACAAAAACAACGGTGCAATCCCCTGCGCATCAGATAAGCGGAAATAATTAGAGATCCCGTGCGTGCGTCGCATGAAGAGAGAGAGAGAGAGAGAGAGAGATAGAAAGAGGGAGGAAGGAGAGTGATCGCGTTTGGGGATGCAAGCAGGATGTGTGCGAAATTTTGGAAGCACGGGCTTTCCGTCTGCCTTCAGCTTCGCTCGCGGTTACCTCGCTAATATTAGCCGAATACGTAATATTCGCCGCGCAACACAGACATGAAGTTAATAGTTTATTATCAATACATATGTAAAATTGCAACGTAGCGTCAACGAACTTGCGATTTTTCATATTCCTTAGCAAACATCTACTTGAATGTAAACACTTGGACTTCGTTCCTCGCGAATCGGCACACTTTCCGCGCGACGTTGTGGCGACCTGCGAACAATTACGATAATCGAACGTCATGGATGGACCTAATTGCCGGGATCTCGCTCGCTGAATGGAGACTCGCCTAATTTGCGATTGCATTATTATCGGCGATACATACAGACAATTCCCTTTCTCTTTCTCTCTCTCTCTCTCGAGCGCGCGTCATGTGCATCGCACGGCGATGCACTGCCGGCCGCTGATCTATAGGGTCTATTTGCGCGCGGCAAATTGTGTACTCTGTCGTATTAGGATTGCGTCCGTGCGCGTACGGCGGTTTAATAACGTGCTCGCCGATCGACCGCGTGTCAACGGACGAGCGCTTGTCAATTCCAACGACGAGAGTCATCGATCATGCACGAAACGTAGGGTTAAGTAATCCGCAGCGTCGAGTCGGCCGTAGACGTGAGCTGGCAGGCGGAAGGGTTGCTCCTGTGATGAAGGGGGACTGTATAGGGCGCTTGTAAAATTACCGGTCGCCGGCACGCTCTCTCCTCGCCCCCCCTCCTCCCTCCTCTCTTTCTCTCTCACTCTTTGTGTACGTTCTCGTATATACGGTTCTGAATGAACCCCCGGCCTGTGCAGATTGCAGCGAGCGTATGCGATCCGTCATTTCGTGCGATCTGCCCGCATTCTTCGTGTTCGAATAAATCGCCGGAAATGCGCGTCTGGGGGGGGATTCACGGCAATCGGCCTGTCCGTTTATCCGTGTCGTATTAATAAAACATTAGGCTGGCATTTCACGCGTCATACGACGACGAGATTGTCGGACGCGTCGATTGGCTGTCGGATAGAGAATTTCTTTCGCGCCCCCTAAATTTTCATATTCCGAAACTTTGAACATTCATATTTCAAAACCAAAATAAGGAGAATATCCGGTGTTAAGTATATGCCCAGGCATTGGTACTTTAATCTTAATTGTTTTCTTTGGATTAAGGAAATATTGCATGAATGTAGCGCATTGTGAGAGAAAAAGGCGCCTATATTCAAGTAATGTTTACTTAATCCAAGTAAAATCATGATTAAAATACTCCTTAGTAAATCTTTGAATATAACACTTTTTTTCTATTGTAAATACGAAACATCGGCCGAAGTGCCAAGTGACTAGCGACATCCGACATGCGACCTGTTGTAGAACCGGCCTTAGATGACCGTACGACGTCACTTCTGAGCTCCGCTTCGCGGAAATCGTGTGATCGCGGGTCACAATTTTGGCGTACGAGCGATCTTAAAAACGGCTAGATCTCCGAGGACGGATAAGGTGGATCCTTTTATCGCCTCGCTATCTAATCGTGCGCGCTTTTCGGATTAATCGCGATAAAGTCCAATGCTAACGTTGTCGCTATCGCCATCGTCGTCGTCTCGGGAACGAAGTGTCTCCTGTGATGTGGAAGCATGAATAACCGAAGAGCCAAACGGGGTTCTTTTGTGCACGTCCTGCATAAAGGTCAGGGAATTGAAGTGGCAGTAGGACGGACGGACGGAGGTAGGGGTCGCGAGTCGGGACAGGTTCAGAGATCGCGCGAGATTAGATACATCTTCGGAGGGTGGAACGTCGTCGTCATCTTCTTCTTCTTCTTCGTCGACGTCGTCGTTCTCCAGGCTGAATGGCGATGCCGTGACGTAAACGGGAATGGAGGCCGCGCGCATAAGAGGACCGCCTAATCTGCATTTACATAGCTTTCAGCGCATATCTCGCGAGAATGGAACTCCCCTCCCCCCCTCCCACCGAGCCTCGGAGGTACAATTTCTCTTCCGCCGCGGCACGAAAGAAGGCCTCGAGTGAGCTTACGACAATGCCGCTCTAAGTCGCTTCCGAAGGGGGTTCGAAAAGGGCGTCGAGGGGCGCTCGTGCCCCGCCATTGTCGCGCTTGCAAACAACGGGATCCTTCCTTCGAGGATATGCGACCCAACCGAAATCTCGGTCGGGTAAACAACCCGGGGGCTGCGAGAGGTCTCGTCGCGGTCGTGTTAAAAATCGCCTGCTGTTCTCCCGCAGGGCCGCCGGAGAAACGCGAGAGAGCGCCTCGAAAAGAGTGCATCTCTCTCTCTCTCTCTCTCTCTTGCACTCGGTAAACTAAACTACAGTCTCTTACCGGTTTACATCAACATTCTAAATAAATGTATTGCCTTTCAACACGTCGGGCCTTTCAATTTCGACATCTCTGCGTTCATTTACACATATTTGTGATGTAATTTAAATTATTTTATATGTACCGCCTTCACTTTGGAAAATATTGTCGTAGTTGAGCTTTTGTACTTTCTCAAAACTGTGCTTGAGGGAAATCTTCCCGGAAGAGAGAGCATTTAATAAATAATGCTCTCTCTCTCTCTCCCTCTCTCGCATGGACGTCGATAGATCACATGGTAGGGATTTTCGAAGTACGTGAA